AGGGGAAATCTATAGTTTATCCCATACAAATCCCGAAAAAAATGCGTAATTACATGCAAGGATTTCACACAACGGGCGCTCCGATGATGTGTTCGGGAAGGGGTTGGGGCACCCAGCGTGAGGCTGCCCCTCCCCTTCCTTACCTCCAAGACAGTGCAAAGTGCCGTCTGCAAAGGGGGTTAATTAACTGGAGTGAGCAGTTTTTGACAGTATGCCATACTGAAGATGGAGTAAATTTGTTTCCTACTTCTCCAGAGACCAGACATGGAGCAATGGGTTCAAACTACAGGAGATTCCACCTAAACTTTAGGGAGAACTTCTTGGTGGTAAGTGTTGTTCTGATACAAAAGAAAGAGGGTCTTAAAAAGAAAACTATACCAAACCAACTGTGGTATATGATAGAGACAATTCTCTGTAGTTTGCTTATTATTCTATTACTACAGCATGACACCTGAGGAAGTGAAGTAGTGTTTATTTTATGATACAAGACTTGAAGCTGTTGTGATAGAGACAACTCTTTTCATAGACTTCTATTTAGCACTTCAGCAATTCAGTCAAGTACTGGTATTCTAAGTAGTGTATGTCAGTAAAATCAATTTTTGCAAAACACTGTTACTTTCTGTATATGATCATATAATTGTTAGTTACTTTCTTGATTTTTTTTTGGTTTGTGTAATTTTAGTTCATTATACAATTAGTATGCAAAAACATAGCCATGTTTGTCGGAAAATCAGTATGCAAAGGGATCTTGTAGCAGCTTTGAGATTAACTGAAAGAAAGAAGCTGGGAAGATGAGCATTCATAGAATTGACCCTACTTCCTCAAATGCATGGAAGTAGGTTCAAGTCTATCCAAGGAAGTAGGTTCAAGTCTATCAAAGCTCATGCTACCAGTGTGAATCTCAAAGGTGCCACAAGATCCCTTTGCATATATAATTAGCAGTTACTGTCTGTATGTTAATTTGTCACTTTTTGTTCATTTTTTATATTATATTTGGTACCTTGTATGGTGTCCCCCCTTTTTTTTGTTAGTAAGAGCTGTTTGACATGGGATATGCTGTGTTGGAGACTGGTGGAGTCTCCTTCTTTGGAGGTTTTCAAACAGGCTGGATGGTCATTTGTCAGGAGTTCTTTGATTGTGTATTCCTGCATGGCAGGGGGTTGGATAGGATGGCCCTTGTGGTCACTTCCAACTTGATGATTCTGTCATGAGAACCAGATCTGTGACTTACTCAATACAGTTGAAACAACAACAGAAGACCTTTAGATCTTTTCATTGACAGTACTGAGTTAGAAGTTGTTAAAGCCACCTTAGCATGCCTGTGCTCAGCAGTTGCTAGTTGGCACATCTCTTTAAAAGTTTAAGCATAGCATGTATCCATGTCTTTTTCTGTTTCTTTGTTTTAGCTACAACCTCTCACTTCCTGCATTTGTATGTTTGCAGTTAGTCTGAGCTTGTCCATACTCCAACTTGTGTACTACATTTCAGTTCTCATTTGAAGAGCACATATTTGAAGAGCTTTTCAGTATAAGATGATATGTAACCGTTCATACGTAGTAAATAAAGCTGCTTTGTTATGTTTTTTCTAAGAAGACTAAGGAGATTATGGCACCTCCTAAACGAGGTAAGCGGGGCCATTTAGGAGGTGCGATAATCTCCTAAGGCTGCTTTATTTCTCCAGTAGACCCTATGCAGGATGAGACTGGATGTTCCTCATCTTCTGTTTGCAAATACAGATTACAGTACTTTGTTTACCAGATACACTAGTATCTCCCATTCCCCAACAGATGCAGATGTTAATATTTTAAATGCCTAAGGAGAATGGACAAATAGGAAAGAAATATTTTACAGAGATAGGCATATGCAGGTTTGTTATGGGGTTGCTGGAGAACGGGGCAGGCCTCTACAATACATCTTGCCATAACAACAATATGGAACAATTGGGACACCTCTTCCATTATACTAACTTGCATTATTCTTTCCTCTCTGCTGAGATTCCAAGGTAAGACAGAGGCTGAAATCAGGAATGGCAGAGAAATTTATTCAAACTACATTTTAATGAGAATTTACTTAAGTTACACTTCCTAACCAGTATGTGAAATGAAACACAGCATCCTTGAATATTTGCATTTTCTGAATGTAGTGATACTATTCCCCAATTTTAAAATGTGTACATAATAGGGAAAGAATGTGAAAAAAACACCTATTTCTTTATGAAAGTAATATGCAAAGACACATTGAATGGAATTCCATTGGTGTCATGCACATGTAGTTGTACTTTTTTGGTTGTTGTGCGATGGGCATATTCAGTCTATGTCACATAAGCAGACTCCCACAAATTTAATGAGTTCAAATAGGCCTAAATCCAGTTACTAGTGTCAAATAAGAGTCGAGCCACTGAATTGCTTGGATTTCCCTACCTGTTGACTCACTGTTGAACAAGTGACAGCAGAATCAATCACTGTGCATTTCCCATTACACACTGTAAAAATAACCAGGTAAACTGACAGCTATATAGCTAAGTTCACAATGATGGTATTCAGTAGAAAGATAGTGTAGTGCAACTATCATGTGACTGCAGATTTATACTATACGAAATTGACAGATGATCTTAGCTTTTATTATAGGCAGGCATGCTTGCAAAAGAAAAATGCACAAAAATTGCACATATTTGAAGAAATGTGTCCAAAATTCACACATTTTGGGGCAGAATTAAAAAAATGATGAAACAGTGCAGAGGTGGGAATGAGAAATGGGGGAGGGGAAATGGATAGATTCATCCACACCCCCACACCCCAACTCTTTACTTATAGTACTTTGTAGGTAAGATAAAGGTATCCCCCATTGACAAGGTTGTCAAGTCGTGTCCGACCATAGGGGGTGATGCTCATCTCTGTTACTAAGCCGAAGAGCCAGCATTGTCAGAGACTATTCTGTGATCATATGGCCAGCATGATTGCATAGAATGCTTTTTACTTTCCCACCGAAGTGGTACCTATTTATTTACTTGTATTTGCATGCTTTCAAACTGCTAGGTTGGCAGAAGCTGGGACTAGTGACAGGAGCTCACCCCATCATGCAGCAACTGGGACCTGAATTGCCAACCAGCTAATCTTGCAATCAACAGAGTCAGCATCTTAACCACCTGAGCCACTGCATCCCTGTTGTTGTTGTTGTTAGCTGCTCTCGAGTGAGTTCCGACTCATGGCGACCCTGCGGATGAGACATCTCTAAGAATCCCTATCTTCCACTTTCTTGCCCAGATCCTGCAAGCCCTTCCCCATACCCCCCCCCCATCAAGTCTATTCATCTGGTCTGTAGTCTTCTTCTCTTTTGTCTATCCCTTTACCTTTCCTAGCATTATTGTTTTTTCTAGTGATCCGTGCCTTCTCATTATGTGGCCAAAGTATGATAGTCTCAACTTTATCATCTTTGCTTCCAAGGAGAGCCTTGGTCTGAACTATTCAATAACCCATTTGTTTCTCTTTTTGGGTCCATGGTATCCTAAGTACTCTTTTCTAGCACCACATTTCGAATGAATTTATTTTCTTTCCATCTGCTTCCTTCACTGTCCAGCTCTCATATCTGTACATGGTAATTGGGAATGCAATGACCTCGACGATTCTGACTATAGTGCTCAGTTGTATGTCTTTTCTCTTCAGTATCTTTTCCAGTTCTTTCATAGCTGCCCTTCCCATTCCTAGTCTTCTTATTTCTTGACTGCAGTCTCCATTCTGGTCAATGTTTGATCCTAGATATGGGAATTGTTTATCTATTTCAATAAAAACCAGGCTGTCTGCAACCTCCCAGAGGGCCTTTTTGGCAACCGCTCCCAGATTATGGAATGGCCTGCCGGACGAGATCCATCATATTACTAGTTTAAATAGCTTTTAAAAAGCTGTGAAGACGGATCTCTTCTGGCAGGCCTTTCCTGATTAGATCTCCCGGCCTTAAGAACTGGCCCACCCCTACTCCTACTTTTTATCACATTTGCTGTTGGTTGTCTGTTCTGCCATTGCGACTTATCTTAGTTGTTTAATTGTTATTGTTTGTCGCTGTTTTAATTCTCTGTTGTTTAATACTATTTTAAGGGGTGGGCAGGTTTTTGGGATTGTATATTTATGGTGTTTTATTGTTGGAAGCCACCCCGATTGCATCAGCAGAGGGGTGTGATATAAATTTATTATTATTATTATTATTATTATTATTATTATTATTATTATTATTATTTCCTCATTGTCTAGATTGATTTTGTGTATTTCTTCTGTGGTCATTATTTTTGTTTTCTTTATGTTCAGCATCAGTCCTGCCTTTGCACTTTCATCTTTGACCTTTCTTATTAACTGTTCCAATTCCTGAACATCTTCTACTAATATTATGATTTCGTTTGCATATCTTAGGTTGTTAATGTTCCTTCCTCCTACTTAACTCATCCTTTTTCTGATCCTAATTCTACTTTTCTTATGATATTTTCAGCATATAAGTTAAACAAGTAGGGTGTCAGGATGCAGCCTTACCTGACCCCTTTGCCTATTGGGAACTACTCTGTTTCCCCGAATTCTGTTCTGATGGTGGTCTCTTATTCTTGGTACAGATTCCTCATCAGGACTATCAGATGTAGTGGCACCCCCATGTCTTTGAGTGCATTCCATAATTTTTCATGATCTATATAATCAAATGCTTTGCTGTAGTCTATGAAACACATTCTGGTTCTTTTTTTGAATTCTTTGGTGCACTCCATTAGCCATCGCATGTTTGCAGTGTGGTCCCTTGTGCCCCTTCCTTTTCTGAATCCTGTTTGCACCTGGGAGATTTCTCTGTCCATGTATGGTTGGAATCTATGCTGCAGAATTTTGAGCA